CTCAGTGGTAGAGCCCCTGCCTAGAATCCCCCAGTGAGGGGCTGGGGCGTGGCTCAGTGGTAGAGCCCCTGCCTAGAATCCCCCAGTGAGGGGCTGGAACTTAGCTCTGAGTTCCGTCCTCACCACTGTAAGAAAGGAGTCATGTTTGCCTTGCCAAGGCCACACACAGCACGGGGCTCTGATTCTGACTGACTGTTTTGTTGGTGTCCTCTCACTGGTTTTGGTACCATAGCTAAGAAGTAATATCCTTATCCTCCATCTCCCCTCTCCCTTTTTTGTTTTTGAGACAGAGTTTCTCTGTGTAGCTCTGGCTGTCTTAGAATATACTCTGTAGACCAGGCTGGCCCAGAACTCAGAGATCTGCCTTCTGAGTGCTGAGACTAAAGGCAGGTGATATCACCACCACCAGGCTCCATCTTCTTTCTTCCTTCCTTCCTTCCTTTCTTTCTTTCTTTCTTTCTTTCTTTCTTTCTTTCTTTCTTTCTTTCTTTCTTTCTTTCTTCCTACCAGGGGGTGGGGTGGGGATTTAGCTCAATGGTAGAACGCTTGCCTAACAATTGGAAAAAACCCTGGGTTCTGTCCTTAACACCGAAAAAGGAAAAAAAAGATAATTCTGCCATCTCAGATTCCCAGGTTAGAACCACGCCCACTCTCCCTAGCTGCTTCCTACCTTCTCTGTCTGCTCAGGACCAGCCGGGAAGATCTCTCTGTAGACAGTGGGGGTGGGGAGGGGTTACCCCGAGCAGCTATAGGAAACCCATTCCCTGTTGAACCTACCTTTGATGTTGTAGGCTCCATCATTGAACTCCAGCTGGAAGACGTCGTAACTGGAGCGGTTGGCATCCAGAGTGCCCGTGACCTTGCGGCAGCCAATGAACCCATGCTCCCCACGGAACACGATAATGGGGCGGTTAATCAGCTTCATGAGGAAGAGTTCTGAGTCCCCTGTCACAGAGAAAAGGGGCCATTGAGCTTTACGGCAACAAGGATAGGCCAGCCAGGGTGTGGCTCAGAGAGGGATACCAAGAAGCTAAGGGTCGCAGGCTGCCATCCTGGGGTACAGCAGCTTACGGGGACACCCTGCACACACAGCAAGGTTCAGGTGGCACTGATGGCTGACCACAGGGTGACTGACCTTCCAGGGCACTAGGGGAATAGGTTTGGGGTGCATGTCCCCATGTGGCTACCTGCTGTCTCCACAGAGGCGGCCAGCTGGCCGTTTTTCTTGGCGGTCACAAACTTGCCGTTGGACGCTCTCAGAGTGATCCGGCGGTCACACCACTCGATGTCAAAGTAGCAGCTGGCATTCCTGGGGAAGAGAAGAGGGGCTGGCAATGTGGGACCATCAAGCGGGCTGCCCCAGTCCCAGAAGAAGAGACAGGCCATGTGACTGAGGGATGTAGGGTGTCACTCACTTGGTGGACGCAGTGGACTGCACACCTCCAGTCGCTGTCAGCGTCCAATACTTGCCCGTGTGGGTGCGGAAGGCACACTTTCTTGTGTCTCGGTCGATCTCCAGCTGGAAGGTCTCCTGATCGGTCTCTTCGTCCTGATTGGCAGACAGGTCCATTCCTGCAGAGAGAGACCTGAGCCACTCAGGACACTGCCTGACCCTTGTCTCATCCGTATTCCAGGATCCCACAGGGCAGTGGGCTTCCTGAAGTGTGGCTCAGATCCCTCTGTGGTGATCCTGAGCAGTGGGCAGGACCAGGTCAGCAGGTCAGCAGCCAATGCTAGCCAGGATTTCACCACTCAGGAAACTGAAACCGCAGGATACCTGTGAGTTCTGGGATCCCCAGGATACCAAGTAAGACTCTTGTCTCAAAAGAAAAAAAGGGGGTGGGGCATTGAAGAGACGGCTTGGCCATACAGTATTAAATTCAGATTGCTAGGAATCATGTAAAAGGCAGGGATGGTGGCATGAGCCGATAATCCCATCACAGGAAAGCCAAGACAGATGGGGCCTGGAGCTCAGTGACCAGCCAGCTTAGCGGAATCGCTGAATCCAGGCCACTGAGCGATTCTTGTCTCGAAGTAGAGAGTGGGCACTCAGGAGACAGAGGAGGTGGATCTCTGTTGTGAGTTCAAGGCCAGCGTGGTCTACACAGTGAGTTCTAGGGCAGCCAGGGCTACATAATGAGACTCCATTTCTTTTCCTTTCTTTCTTTTTGTCTTTTGAGACAGGGTTTCCCTGTGTAGTCCTGGCTGTCCTGGAACTCAGAGATCTGCCTACCTTTGCTATAATGCTGGAATAAAAAGCATGAGTCACCACATCCCAGGCTAGACTCCATCGCTGCCCCTCCCCCAAAAAGTATGTAGAATGATCGAAGATGACATATATGATATTGATCTCTGACTTCCATATTAGGGGTGCATATATAAACAATAAAAATAGGTTGTGCTAGGCATTGTCACAAGTTCAAGACCAGCCTGGGATACATAACTCTTAAAAAAAAAAAAAATCTGGGGGTTTGGCTCAGTGATGGGTTTCTTTAACTCTAGTGCCCAAAATGACAAGGAGGAAGGGAGCGGGGAGGAAGGAAGCCTTCAAACTTCAAAACGAACCACCCACAAAGATGTTCTAAGGCCAAGCAGAACTCTCCTGTGGCCCTGGATTGGGTCCTAAAGATTGGTTCTCGTTGGGGAACGCTCCCGTTATGTAAGGAATGGCCTGGTTTTGCAGCTACAGATGGAGGCGTTTCCGGATAAGACACCCCAGTGTCGGGAATTTGCTTTAAATACAACCAAAACCATTGAATAAACACACAGATGGCGGTGGTTCTGCAGAATGTCACATGGCAGGATGCTGGTAAAAGGGGGCTCGTTACCCGCTTCCTGTAGTGGGTATACGTGAAAGTAAAGGCATAAGGTATGAGGCAGGCACCACGACGACCCACGCCAGTCATCCCAGCACTCAGAAGGCCGATGTTAGCCTCGGTGATGAGTGGGGCCAATCTCAAAAAATAATAAAATAAAATAGGGTTGTGGCTATAACTCAGTTGACATTCAAAGTCCTGGGGTCCATCCCAGAACTGCAAAAAAAAAGGGTGTGGTAGAGTGGGCCTACAATCTCAGTACTTGGTTACCAGAGGGAGGAAGATCATAAGTTCAAGGCCAGCCTGAGCTACATGAGACTCCACCCCATGTACACACAGATACAGACAGACACACAGACACACAGACACAAAAGTTTGCAGGCTATCGAGATAGCTTGTGGAGGTAAAGGGACCTGCTGCCAAACTTAACAACCTGGGACCAACAGGGCAGAAGAGAACTGGATGTAGGCACACCCTCCACAGACAAAAATAAAAACAAAAGCAGTCTTGCTGGGCAGTGGTGGCTCACGCCTTTGATCCCAGCACTTGGGAGGCAGAGGCAGGCGGATTTCTGAGTTTGAGAGTTCGAGGCTAGCCTGGTCTACAGAGTGAGTTCCAGGACAGCCAGGGCTACACAGAGAAACCCTGTCTCGAAAAAAAAAAAGAAAAAAAAAAAACCAAAAAACAAAAACAAAAGCAATAATCTTTCTTTAAAGCAAAGGTGGGCGTGGTGGCTCCCGACTTTATCCCTAGCACTCCGGAGCTAGAGGCAGGCGAATCTTGTTTTGAGTTTGAGACCACCTTAGTTTACATAATGAGTTCTAGGCCAGCCAGAGCTACATATAAAATAAATAAAATAGAGAGGACATTGAAAATATAGCTCAGTGTAAAGTGTTTGCCCAGCATGGTGGAAGGCCCTGGATTCTACCCCAGTACCAAACACACACACACACACACACCCCACATGTTCTTTTAGAAAGCTCAAAAGGCATAAGAACGATGTCATGCTTTATCCCCACTCTCCCACCAGCCACAAACACTGAACGCTGAGCAAACCTTCCAGCACTTCCCTGCATGTGATAGCCACGTGCAAACACTGGGTCTCCCTCCTCCTTTCCCTCTCTCTTCTTATTTATTTTCTTTAATTTTTAGAAAGACTTCTTGTATTTTATGTGGTATGTCTGAACATTTTGCCCGTGTGTATGTACGTGTATCTCCTATGTGCTCGGTGTCCTCAGAGGTCAGCTCTCCTGAGCTGTTGTGAGCCACGCTGAGAGTGCTGGGCCTCTGCAAGAAGAGCGTTCCAGAGCCGAGCATCAGTAACCCCAGCTCTTGGGAGGCAGAGGCAGGCTGATCTCTGAGTTCCAGGCCAGCTTGGCCTATAGGCAAGTTCCAGGACAGCCAGGGCTGCTACACAGAGACCCTGTCCTGAAAAACCAAAAAGGAAAACAAAACAAAACAACCCCAAAAAACCAAAAAAGCCAAAACAAACAAAAAAACAACTGTCTGAGCCATCTATCACTTCCTTCCTTTTCATTTTTTTTTTGTTTTTTTAAGATTTATTTATTTATTTTATGAATGTGAGTACAGTATTCTCAGACACACCAGAAAAAGGTATTGGATCCCATTACAGATAGTTGTGAGCCATCATGTGGTTGCTGGGAACTGAACTCAGGACCTCTGGAAGTGCAGTCATTGCTCTTAACCACTGAGCCATCTCTCCAGCCTGTTTGTTCTGTATTGAGACAGGGTATCAGTGTGTATCCCAAGCTACCTTTGAACTCTGCCTCTGCCTCCTGAATTGGAATTATAGGTTTGTAGCACGGCTTGCTAACTTCTTGCTACATAGTAACACTACATGGTTCCCATGTTACATGACCTCACTGACCCCAATAAGGTGTCTCTCCCAAGGCCTGCTCAGTGTTCCTGCTTTGCATAGTGGCTTTCACTCCACCTTGGAGTGGGATCTTGGGTCCTAACAAGATAAACTCTTTGTTTCAAGGAGCCAGGATTCTAAGAACACCCTCAGCATGGACACAGAATACACTACCGATCTCACAGTTGTCATTAGACGTCCTCAGGAAGCAGAATCTGGTAGGGGATGGGTTGATGCCACCTTCAACCTTGCCTTTAGGAACCCATCCTTAGCTGACACTCCACCCAAGAGTGTGCCAGTGATCTGTGCTGTCAATGCCAAAGATCTTTACCTTTACTCACAAATCGGATGAGGCTCAGAGGTGGCAGGCCTTGGCCCAAGGTCACCTAGCAAGACCAAGGAGCTCCTGGGCTTCAGGAGTGGAGATGGACACTTGTCTGGCCATGTCTCAGCATCAGCAGACATGGCTTCCATGGTGGGTCCCCCAGGACCCTGGCCCAGTCCCTCCACAGGGTCTACCACTGAAGCACGGAGGAGGGTGGGAAGGCCAGCTCAGGCTAGGTGGCTACTCCAAGGCCACAGCTCTGAGCTGGGGTCTGCCCCTGGCCCACACTAGGGATGGCTAAACATCAAGAGGACAGTTGGTCACACGTATGCAGGGTGTCGCCTACTGTCCCCTCTGCCTGCATGTAATTGAACTGCCACGGGCAGGGACTGCTGAGTCAGCACACCATACTGGGCAGAACAGCCACACCTGATGCCAGAGAGTCTAAGTGACCCCACCTGATCTAACCGTGCCCACTGAGGGTAATCGAACAGTCACAGAAAGCCAGCATTGGGACCTCAGTGGGTCCCAATCACCCACTTGGGTCCTTGTCACCAAGCCTCCAGAATTCCTTCTCTATACCCCAACTGTTTGAAGGAGAAAATGGATTCCCACAAGTTGTCCTCTAAACTCCACGTGGGTGTTGTGGCCTATGCCTACACACACACACACACACACACACACACACACGTAATTAGATTAAAAATGTATTTTAAGAAAAAGGAAAGAAGCCGGGCAGTGGTGGCACACGACTTTAATCCTAGCACTTGGGAGGCAGAGGCAGGTGGATTTCTGAGTTTGAGGCCAGCCTGGTCTACAGAGTGAGTTCCAGGACAGCCAGGGCTACACAAAGAAACCCTGTCTCGAAAAACAAACAAACAACAAAAAAAAAAGTTAAAAAAAAAAAGAAAGAAAGAAACATTGAGTTCCAGGACAGCCAGGGCTACACAGAGAAACCCAGTGTTGAAAAAAACAAAAACAAAAACAAAAACAAAAACAAAAACAAAAACAAAAAACCAAAAAAAAAAAAAAAAAAGAAAAGCTGGCTTTGGGGGTGTGGTTCAGTGATTAAGCATTTGCCCAGAATCCTCCAGTGAGGGGCTGGGGGTGTGGCTCAGTGGTAGAGCCCCTGCCTAGAATCCCTCAGTGAAGGGCTGGGGTGTGGCTCAGTGGTAGAGCCCCTGCCTAGAATCCCCCAGTGAGGGGCTGGGGTGTGGCTCAGTGGTAGAGCCCCTGCCTAGAATCCCCCAGTGAGGGGCTGGGGTGTG